TTTGATAAGGACGGGAACTGCAGCAGGCTGAGCACTGCTGAAATTCCAGTAACTTCTTTTTAGGTACTTAAATAGGCGCTGAACTCTTTTGGCCTTGAAGCACTAATGCAAAGACATTAATATGGAGTAAAGAGAGAAAATGGCACAGTCATTTAGGAGCAGATTTTGCTTCATGGCAAAAAATGTTTTCATCTAAGGTATAAAAATATAGCCCTGATTCTCCACTGGATCTGAGCTGTGCTGGAGGGAGCAGCTGCAAGGAGCCAGTTGCAGCTCCCTGATCATTGGCCGCTCAGCCTTGATGGATGTTAGAGAAGCAGGGGGCCTACCGTAACTTGCACCAGTGCAAATCAGGTCACCACACCTACTGCCTGCTCATGCCCCTTTGCTCCCCTTATGCGAGGGTCGGAGGTATAGCTGCTGGTGTGGGAGACTCATCTTCTTCATCTTTCTTACACAAAGAAAAGTTACTGGTGTCAATCACATCGTTTAACTATACTTGATGTGGTTTAAAAACACATTGGGGTGAAAGCCTGTACATAAAAAGCATAACTTCTTACTGTCACAGGCTTTTTGCTACATTGGAATCAATGGCATTAGCTGAAGTACAAGACTCTATCTTGTAAACTATCATAATTTGCACTGCTTGGCTCTCCAAAATCGCTGTGTCATTCTAAAGAAAATCCCTGGGATGTCATGTTACCCCATAGGAAATCCAAATTTACCTAGCTTCAAGCAGTGCTCCTTTGTTTTCTGATTTTATTAAACTACTTTTCCTTTGAATTACGAGGGTGACGTTGAGCAACTCTGCACTAACATTTTACACTCTAAACAGTTCATTTTAAACAAACAAACAAACAAACAAACAAACAAACAAACAAACAAAGAACATCTTACTCTTTAAGTTCGCTGTAAATTGGAAGGACCGATGGGTGGCACACAAATGCAAATGCAAGGGTAGGCAAAGCATAAACAGTCTGTTTGAACATAATTGAAGAAAAGACAGTTAGGAAAAATACATAGTAAGAAATCATCAGTGTTTCAACTACCTCATCTCCCAACTTTCTGAACTCTTCAAATGAACATTGAGAGTCCCTGCAGGGAAGGCAGAGTGCCCGTCAAAAACATCAGGAACAATAACTTTTCAATGTGAGGACACAATCTATGTATTTTTCTTGCAAATATTTCTGAGACAGTTCAGAGACAGCAGTCGTGTAGCAGCTGCTACCACCAGGTTTATTCCCTTGAATAAGACACTTTCATATCCTCTTCATATTCTGTCTGGGGATGGGTCCTGCTTTGAGCAGGGGGTTGGACTAGATGACCTCCTGAGGTCCCTTCCAACCCTGATATTCTATGATTCTACTATTGCTGCCAAACACAGTCTTGTGTGCGCGGGGCAAATGTTTGATCTTTATGTGCCATGAGGAGGAATATTATTTCAGTGCTATAGAATGGATGCTCAGAGGAGTCTGACAGTGATAGATCAGAGCTTGACTGTGATATTTCGTCTCAGACCATAGGAAGGAGCTGTGCAGAGGGTCACTGTCCCAGAAGGAGTACTGGGACACATTCTATTTCAAGGAGGCAAATGCCTGCTGGAGTTCCCAGGCATTACAATCTCTGTGTATTGATTAATAGTGCAGTTCATTCCCTCTTTGAAGCTGGCCAGATCTGCTGCCTGGTGCAGAGAGAGGCAGAGCCTCAACTCCTTAAAGTCCAGTGGAACCTGCCCCTTACACAAGCTGAGGGAGAAGATTCATTATGCCCTTCCCATCACAGCGCATCTGTGAAAGGGCCACGGAGACTCTGGACCTAAATGATGTGTCTCATTGACTAGGAATATGGAGTGTGATATCAAATTATCTGAATTAAAAATAAATATCATAGAAAGAAACATACCTTGGAATTAAAGGTAACATACTTTGGTTGACACATCTCTTCATGTGCTGAGCTAACATTTGATATGATAGGTGATGTTGCACTTGGCCCCAGTACTGGGCAGGAAAGTTGAACTTTCTTGTAGATAACCTGCAATAAAGTGCCACATGGTAAACTGTAAAAACTTATTAAAATAAAAAATACCAAAGACACTATAGGGGCAACTCTAATCCAACCAAAACAGCAAGCAGAACTTACCACTATGAGGAAAAAAACCATGCAACCAAGAGAAAATCCACTAGTATATCCAAGATACCCTAAAAGAAATACAAAAGAAATCTAATCAATAACTCATGTAATGGTCACATTTGTTTGTGTTTTTGTTCTTTTTATAGCTTCTTACTTTAGAAAATAGTTAAAGTTATTACACATTATACACATAATATGAACCATGAACTTCAGGATAATATAATAATGTCTAATTTTTTTGGAAATCTGTCATTTCACAAGGTTGCTACATTTCAGACATATTAAAATTCTGTTCTGATATGTTTGACTCTCATTTAATATTCCTCTCCTGCCTCCTTGCAGATCATGTATATGGCAGTTTGATTAACTGCACTCTTGAGAATGCCTTTCACAATGGACGTAAACTTGATAATAGGAGAATACTCTCATAATATGCCGCAAATCACGCAGTGCTTAAATGTTAAAACTTACTATGGGATTAGATTTTCCAAGGGATTTCGATTTTTATTTCAAGGGCAGTTAGGTGCCTAACCTCCTTAGGTGTTTTGGAAATTCCAATATGTGCCTATCAGCAACTTTAGGCACCTAAATACATTTGAAAATCTGGCCATATAGGGTGAGAGGCGCCTTGTGGAATATAAGTAATATCCATATACACATTACCTAGACAGAACTAGTCAGAAATTTTCAATGAGAATTGTTATTGACATTTTGAATTTTTATGGAAAAAACATTTTTTGATAATTCTGTTGCAATTAAAAAAATTACTAGCTCTATGTAATATTAATTTACCTAACGGAATAAACACCCAGGTGGTCATAAAATCTGTAATCAGTTGCCACAAGCAAATGGAAGAGCTAACGAACACATTATTTTGAATCAATTTAGTTATACTGTCTCATTTGTCATGTTACTAGCTTTTAGTTTAGCCTGGCTTGTTCCAGGATGCCTAATACATAGCTTATTCCTGTGCTAAGGCCACTTTATTCATGACTGAGCACTGTCCTCTCCATTATATCTGAGTGGCCAATATGACCTAGAGGGGAGCAAAATTTGGGTACCCCCACTTTATTCTAATGATATTTGCACTCTTACCTAAGTTCTTAAGAAGACACAGGGGGAGGATTATAGTAAATGTCACGGCTACAACAAGAATTCGCCCATCCACATACCATGCCCTGTAAAACATTTCAAAGATACAGTGAAATCTCTTCTTAAAGCACTATCACTATTTTTTAACATTGGATCAGCCATCCAGAATTACAGCATTTTCTCTGGCTTCCATATATTATAAGCTCAAGTATAGGCAAAGACTGGGACAATTACTGAACTTCCTAGGGCATTGGTTACATGTGATAGTAAATGGAATATTTTATCAGTAATTGCTTAAAAAGTGGCACTATTTGGAATCTGAGCCACAACACATTTTCATAGTCCGAGGGCAAAATGTTGCCCTTACTGGTAGGAGTGGTGGCATGGGTGAAGGGATGGAGCAATACCAGTTGGCATTAGATAGAAGCTATCCTGCCAGCACAGGAAAAGACAGATCAAGCGGTCAGACATAGTGCAGTGCAGCATATGCTGCAGACAGCAATATACCCACTTAGCCTGCTGAGGGCCTGGCCACATGCCCTAACTGACAGACCATGCTACTGAGGGCTGGGATGCACTGTCCACCCCAGTCACTTGACCCCTTCCCATAGGCTGTGGTTAGAATCCTCTCCTCGTGGTCTGCAGAGAAAGGGGAGAAATGCAGGATTGTTCTCTACAACATATTTTAAAGTGCTCTGTCCAGTCTTGTATGAAACATCTTTAGGATGGTGTTTCCACCTTTTAGCTAAGTTGCAAGACATCATATAATCTGATGTAACAAACAAGACATGTACCAATGTAAAGAAATACCCCTCTTTTTGTTTTGTTTAAGGCAATGATAGATGCCATCAAGCAGTAACAAGTGGCAGAAATCTATCCTAGGTATTCTACTCCTGTCATGTTTTAGTATTGGGGCACTCCGCACTATGGCAGGGGTGGCCAAACTGTGGCTTGTGAGCCACATGTGGCTCTTTTACAGTTAAAGTGCAGCCCGCTGAGCCCCCCACAGCTCCCCCTTTCTCCACCAACCAGATGGAGGTGTGGGGGGGAGAGCTCGGGACTTCTGCCTTGCAGTGGGGTGGTGGGGTAGGGGCTTCTCCCCAATGGGGAAGGGCGTTTCAGGGCTTCAGCCTCATGGGGTGCACCTGCCAGGGCTTGGGGCTTCAGCAGGAGCAGGGCTGAAGCCCCAAGCACCATCAGGTGCCTCCCATGGGACTGAAGCCCCAAGCCCCAGCAAGTACGCCCCGTCCCTCGAACTTCTGAAGATTGTCATATGTGGCTCGGAGGGTCAGTAAGTTTGGCCTCCCCTGCACTCTGGGGAGTTCTTTACAGATTGAATCCTACAAGGTGCTCCGAACTCCTGGAGGTGCTGAGTGCCTTCAATGCCCATTGGTTTCAATAGGTGTTCAAGGTGTTTAATAGCCCCAGGTATTGCTCAGCATATTGGGATCAGATCGTAAGATAAGAATGCTGTAGAAATCATTCTTCCGAAGAAAAATCTAGACAGTAAACACTAAAGGTTCATTTATTTTTCTTTTCTCTCCCCTTCCTCCCCCCACGCTTTACAATCCCATTAGGGACCCTGCTGTGAAGATCTGACACTAGCATGAGGAACAGCCAATAATTAGTGCTTTTATAAACCCATGCTCTAGCTTATCTACATGAAGTTTAGACTCTGAAGTCAAGTAAGCAAAATAGTATTAAACTTACGAAAATGCTTCTTCTTTTCCCATAAGAAACTTTATGGCAGAAGGCAGCTCATTTTTTACTATGAAGAGATAGCTCAGCATTGCTGGGGAAAAAATGAGACCATTTTAGAAAGTGGACATGATACCTTGTGGAATGAGCACATAGAAGGATACTGGATCTGTTCTCCTGCCAACCCGAAGTAAATACAAGCTGATCTAAGGCAAAGAAGTTTAACTGATTCTAAATTACTGATCCAAGTTGGGTTTTCCCTGATATGTCATTTCAACAGACTACACAGAGAATACTAGTTTGAACTGCACAACAGGACACAAGGGCCCCCAAAACATCACCGGGAGAATGAGAAATCTGAGTGGCCGACAGGCATAAATATATGTGCATTCCTTTGTTTGCTCTTGTCTTTTATACTCTCTTTACCTCCAGTATTCTGGAGAGAAGTGGATCCAAAAACAATAATTTTTCCCGGAGTGCCAAAGACCTGCTCACCAAGCTTTTCATACACCATGCAGCCTGCGTAAACCAATTGGAGGAGAAATAAAAAATCAGGGTTGACAAGCAACTGTCAAGTCAAAACATTTAAGATTCCTCTTCATTCAGCTAATTTCCCCATCCATGCTGCTATTTCTTCCCTTTTCACACAAATATGGGTCTCTATTGTAATTCACAGGAGTCGAGCAAGCTTATTTGGAAATATCCTCCTCACGTTTTTAAATGTCAGGAGTGGCTACCAATCACTTTTTGAAAGTTGGAACTCACAATGAGATTATTATATCTCTTTAATATAAGTGTCCACCTACAGTCCTCATGATATTTACAAACCTGGCATCCTGACATCTTAAGTTTGCTCCCTCAGTAGGAATAATATAAGATTTAATGGAAGATAATATTCAACACAGCAGGGATCTGCAAGCCAAGGCTCTGGCAGACAAGCTAGAGAGACACAACACAGCAATGCTGTAATTTTATGCAGTTTAACTGACATAGATTAATGCAGAGAAGCCAGACTGTTCATTTAAATTATTATTTTTATTTCCTTATAATATATTAATTTTATGAGTTCTCATTCTCCTAGAGCTCCTGTGAAAGAAGGAAAGTATGAGAACTATAATTAAATATTCTTTGTTTAAAGTCTGTCAAATTCAACTAGTAGCTAGACCCTCTATTAATTACAAGATGTTCCAGTTGAATTTAGCAATTTTTTCCCCCAGTTGTCGTTTGGGCTGACAGAAAAGCTACAGCATTAAGAACACAAGAGGGTATGCAACGAGAATGGAAGATAAATATTTCAGGTGTTACACTGCAGATTATCCAAAAGAGGTGTCTCACAGTTTGGGTTCCTCACATTTTCTCCTGGTTGACATTTTCTCTTTAAAACTCACATGAACAAGAAGCAAAATTCAGTTTGAGTTTTAATGCAATGTCATCCTTAGCAGCCTGAAGCCCAGGACCCAAATTTTTAGCGTTTCAAGGACACAAATGTGTGTGCATCTGCATGCCTAATTTGAATATGCAATTGCTGCCATTGTGTACACAGTTGTGATAATTGTGTACACAAATTAGGTGTTCAAATGTGGAAGCATTCTCATGCATGGGTAAATTTGAAAGTTTGGACTAAAGGTTATAACCTCAGGACATTATTTTTAGCCTAAAGAGTTTAACATTACAAGGGCATTTATATATGTATTTAGACTTATATATTGTGAGATCCTCAGGGCAGAGTGTGGCTTCTTCCCTATATGGAAAGTACCTATTATTATACCATGGGTACTATTGGGAACAACATCAACTCTATTTTAGTGATGTCATCTTATCCCAGATAAGTTTCACTATACAGAGTTTCATTATAACTGGAATTGCAATCTTCAGATTGTAATGCAATAAAACAGTTTGAATCATTCCTTCTACTTCACTAAATGGAGTTTCACTGTATCAGAATTCACTGTGAATTGGTTTGACTATATCTTTTCTTTATAGCAATGGGCCAGATTCTGGTCTCAGTTATACCACTATAAATCTAAAGTAACTCTGATGGCTTCTGGCCTAGTTTCTCTTTTCTTTTTCAAACTGATGAGAAAAAAAACCCAGGCATCTTGCTTTATTCTGAACATTTTTATCATCTCTTGTCCTTTTCCCTCCTACTAAATTGATACATTATGGTCTCAAATTACCTGTTTCCTTTGAACATATCAACAGGAGATTTATTGAATAAATAGACAGCAATGTCACTGAAGACAATAGAAACCTACAAGAGAGTGAAAAATAAAATGTATTATAATAAAAGCATTCCTTGGTGTTGCAATTTTGTACATATTGGGACAGATTCTCATTTACACTAAGCCACCTTCATAGTTTTCTGGCAGTGCAAAGTGGCCCCAGAGTAAGTACAAATATAACTGACGCGTGCTTTATGGCTTCTTTACATTGCTATAGTGTAAAAAGGGGACCTAGTATAAAGGAGGCTCTGGCCCATTAAGTCTTATATTGAAGGCCTGCCACGATCAACTTATGGTGCTCAAAGTTTATAGCCTATTAATTAGTAACCCCTCCCACTTTTAACTAAACCAAAATAAAAATCTCCTGCCATCTAAGCAAGAAGATCTAGTCAGAGCAGCAGTGAGCCCTATGCTCCCAACTACTTAGTCTAATGATCTTTCTAAAATCTGAGGCACAGAATTTTATCTAAGCGTTTATATAAGGACACATCCTAATGTCCATATGAGGGTCACATCCTAATGTTCTTTCCCAAGCCATGTTCCAGAGGATATTAATGGTATCTCCTGATATTGTTGTGCCTGACTCTGACAGTGCCACTGGGAAAGTGGGGGCAGCACCGCCCCAAGTAGTCCTGCTAGCCTATTGTACAGGATACAGTGTGATCTCCCCCAATCTGTGCACCATTCCAGCTGCTCTGGAGCCGAAGGAGATGTGGTTCTTTGCCTTGACACTAGCATCCCTGTTGGCACTAGCTCACACTGTATGATCCCCAGAGTGGTGGTCTCTGAGCTTCAGATTTTGAGCAGGGGAGACAGCAGAGACACACCTCCTCTGAGGTACTGCATGGCACTGGCAACTCCAGTCCCTGTCCTGCACTGAGAGAAGCAGAGGAGAAGGGTTTGCTGCATCCTGCATTATGGTTGGTGCTTCCTGCAATGGGGCGTCCATCATTTGACCCCTGCACTGTAATCACCGGTTTGCAGAAAAATTCGGGAATTAAAATGGGAATGAATGCTTAGTCAATATTTGCCAGGGGCTGAGCAGCACGCCTGATAACAAGGCAGTACAATGGGCCAAATGCACAACACTACCTTTGCTCAATGATCCATCTCCTGTAGACCAGGGCACAATTCAAACACTGTGTGTTCCTTTTCTCTGTGTACAGTTACATGGGCTGATTGACAACACATTTTCATGATATGTGTAAGGAGTATTACAACAATCTGTTGGCACTTCTATCATTTTTATCATGATAATATGTCTTAGGACACCATGTAAACAAATCTAAAATTAAACAGAAAACAAGCTGCTACAATAGATGGGCAGTTTAAAATGACAAAAACAAGTCTTTTCACTGAAAAGAACATGCAGGATGACAGTTTGAGAACAATGTTTTCTTCCTTAGACTAGATGTATTTGGGGCCAAATTATGGCTGCTCTTGCCATGATTGCATGGCCTGAGGTGTGGGGTAGAATGGAAAAGGGCACAAGAAGCCCCATTTTTCTCAGTGTAACTGTACAGAACATGCCACAATGATGCAGACAGCATGACTTGATCTTAATGGGGCATCAAACAGCTGACAATGGCACTGCACTTCCCAAAGGCACTTGTCCACCCTGGCTGCACTGTACATTGTAATGCCTGGAGGGCAGTGCTGCGAGAGAAGGTGGAGTAAGTGCTGCTGCTGAGCATGCTCCCAACAGAGACCACGTGCATGTTTTTGCACTATGTGGGCATAATGTCTCCAGCCATTATTGCTTGGCTGTTGAAGCAAGCCATAACTGAGCCCTTAACATTGAACTCCTAATTTGCTGACACCAAGCAAAGGGCGTCTTCACGGAGATAAAAATAACAGCTGCAAGCCAGCCAGGTGATGATCTGATCTGTTTCCTTACCTCCCCTCAGGAGTCTCACAAGTTGCTATGAGAAACGTGTCCTTTTTCATTAAAGCCATATGAAAAGCCTGTTTGTGTGAGGGCTGCGGTTTAGGCAGACTAGTGCCTGTACCATCCCATAGAATGGAATGAAAATGTTAGTGCCCCTAGCGCTTTGCAAACTCAAAACATAAGCAGTGAAGCTTTGGCAACTCTGTAGTATCAAAATTGTTCTCATGCTTCACATTTTGTACAGTTTAAAAAAGTGCTGGCAACCACATAAGAAATCTGGGCAAAATTCTCATCCCCAGTCCAAGCCAAGTGTATAGCTATATGCAGAGGACCGACACAGGGCTAGGGGGAACAGAATCCTACCTCCCACACTGGGAAGCTATGCTGTCTGTCCACAGCTGCTTCCTTCACTCATCAGCTGTAGCAACTACTGTGACCCACTGCACTGCAGAGGCCTGGGCTTTGTGACCAGTGGATCTGTGAAGTTGGTGGATTAACAGGCCACACATCTGCCACTCCCAGCTCCGCCACACAAACCCCCTTACATTCCCGTGGGGATCAGGACACAGCAGAGCTCGGCTCAACCAGTGCTAAAGTCTGCAGAATCCTCCTCCTAAAGTCCCTCTGTGACCTGGCTCATGTGCAGCCTTCCAAACATTCTGCAGCCGTGAGAATTTCTCCCCTATTGCTGATATGAAAGAGTCTTTCTATGGCATAGCTCATAGTTATTAGTCATATTAGATTGTAAGCACCTATGGGCTCTCATCTTATTTTACACCTGCAAAGCATCATACTTACCTATTGCGTTAAGTTACACAAATAATACATAACAATAGTGTTTTTGTTGCTTTGTTAATTTTGAATTCAGTATGCAAAGACTATATGATCCTGATTCAGATCTCAGTTGTGTGGGGGTTAAATTTGATTCCACTGGAGTCAGTAGAGTCATGCTGGCAGAAAAGCAGGCCCTCGTTTGCTTAATTAGCTTTTTTAACATACAGGTTTCCTTTTCCATCTTTGCTTTTTACTTTTAGATCGCAGTGCATGGTTCTCTTCCGTAACCAAAGTCTACCCAGATCAAAGAAGGCTTAGAAACATTTCAGATCTGTGTAATTTACAAGTAATGAATACAGCAAGGCCCTCTGTTCAAAATGCAAAAATAATAATACTTGGTCTCTGTCTTTAATCATTTGTAAAGCAACGTGTGATAAAGATAGCACTATATATTTGTTGGAAAGATTAATTTGATCAAGCTGTGAGGGAAAAAAAAGTATTCTTGATCGATTGGATTCAACTCTCTGCATTGCAGGACATAGGAACATTTTAAACAGTGCTCTTTATTTGCCACAGAGCTCCAGAGGTCCCATTAGGATTTAGTATCTCAAAGACTGGTCTGATGGCTCATTCCCTGCTGACTTGCCTCTCACTCTCTAACTTGTCAAAAAGAACAGGAGTACTTGTGGCACCTTAGAGACTAACACATTTATTAGAGCATAAGCTTTCGTGGGCTACAACCCACTTCTTCGGATGCATATAGAAGTGGGTTGTAGCCCACAAGTACTCCTGTTCTTTTTGAGGATACAGACTAACACGGCTGCTACCCTGAAATCTAACTTGTCACTACCTACTACATCTTTGGTCTTAATAGCTTTGTCTATGACATTGCTAACATGACTGAAAACCATTACGAAGCTAACAAAAGCATGGCTATTAAAATAAATATCTGCTATTAAATCTGCATAGTTAATTAAGTAGAGAATAATTCTGTTCTTTATAGGACAAAAAATTTACCCAGCATTCACCTTAGCTAAATACTTTGTATAACATGGGTAACTCCACAGATCTACCCAGTATTTGATTCACGACAAGTCCAACTACCATCAAAGATCATTTTAAGCATATCTAGGGTTCAGTATCATGTATGTGATCTACTTCTGTTTTTATCTCGTTAATGTAAGCATTCAGGAGATACACACCTCTCAACTGCCCCTGGAAACAGAATGCTTTACAGAATGTGGTGTTATCTTCTTGTTAGTGCTAATGAGTTCAATAGCAGTATGGGTGGTGAAGAGAGGAGCAGACAAGGCTGTGAGAGTTTACAAAGAACTAAAGTTTGAGTGGAATCAGAATGTAATTAGACTAATGCTTTGGACTGTTACTGTGACACAGATAGTTCCCATCTACACTAAAAAGCAACAGAGGGTCCTGTGGCACCTTTGAGACTAACAGAAGTATTGGGAGCATAAGCTTTCGTGGGTAAGAACCTCACTTCTTCAGATGCAAGACCCATCCACACTGTAACTTTTAAAGCATAACTGGACCAGGGGCTGATTCCTGATTTGGTTACAGTTGTAGGGTAGACAGGACCCTGAACTCTCCAAAGCAAGTCAATTCCCAGAATGAAAGTCAGAATGATTTTCTCTTTTCAATGGGTTTCAGATTACAGGGCAATCTTATACTGCACACACATAAGACAGATATTTGCAAATTGAATATAAAAATTGGAAGCACTTCTATAATTTTAATTAGAAATCACTGATGTAGCAATAGCTCTGTCCACTTCCATTTTTAGTTTGACATATAAGCTAGTGAGTTTATTTTTAATTAAATGTTTGTCAGTGCTGCAGTAGCAAAGCAGTTCAAAACATCCTGAACTGATTTGTATCTTTTCATATTTTACGTTTCAGATCTGTCTCTTGGTGCCATGTGCTAGATCTCAGAAAGGAAAATCGAGGATATAAATCTCATGTGCCTCCTACCCATCATTTTTCCCCCCAGCTGGGCACAAAAAAGTATTAGGGCTTGTACACACTAGCGGTTTCTTCAGCATAACTTAAGTCACTCAGGGGTGTGGAAAAGCCATCCCCCTGGAGTGATGTAAGTTACACTTACCTAAGAGCCAGTGTGGACAGCGCTATATTGACGGACGAAGCTCTCCCACCAACATAGCTACAGCCACTTGGAGAGCGGGAGTAATTATGCCAATGGGAGAGCTCTCTCCCATCAGCACAGACTGTATAAAAATTAAACATCCAAGCCTTGGGATTGCATTTGAACAACTGGAACTCTTTAGCTTTGTGTGCCCAAGTGTTCCTTACCCTGGTTTTAGGGCAAATACTGAAGCAGCCAGGTGTCTGGGGCCAGATTGTGATCTGCCTTGCCACTGGGGGTTATGCCTTGTGTGATCCACCTGAAGAATAGGCACAATAATGGTCTCTAAGAGCAGGGACTACTTCCTCCCTCCACACTGCAGTAAATAAATCACCTTAAAGGAGGTAGGGACCAGGAGAAACCATGGTCATGCTTCTCGTCATACCAGCCAGTGGAACCTTATAGATAGGGCCCTACCAAATTCATGGCCATGAAAAATGCGTCACGGACCGTGACATCTGTTTTTTTCTGTGCTTTTACCTATATTATACAGATTTCATGGAGGAGACCAGTGTTTCTCAAATTTGAGGTCCTGACCCAAAAAGGGAGCTGCAGGGAGGTGGGGGGTTGCAAAGTTATTTTAAGGGGGGGGGGTCATGGTATTGCCGCCCTTACCTCTGCGCTGACTTCAGAGCTAGGCGGCCGGAGAGCAGCGGCTGTTGCCTGGACATCCAGCTCTGCAGGCAGCAGTGCAGAAGTAAGGGTGGCAATACCATACCATGCCATCCCTACTTCTGTGCTGCTGCTGGTAGCAGCGCTGCCTTCTGAGGTGGGCTCCTGGCCAGCAGCCACTGCTCTCCGGCTGCCCAGGTCTGAAGTCAGTGCTGCGGTCAGCAGCAGAGCAGAAATAAGGGGAGCAGTACTGCAAACCCCGTACAATAACCTTGCAACACCCTCCACCCACAACTCCTTTTTGGGTCAGGACCCCTACAATAACAACCCTGTGAAATTTCAGATTTAAATAGCTGAAATCATGAAATTTACTATATTTAAAATCCTATGACCGTGAAATTGACCAAAATGGACCGTGAATTTTGCTAGGGCCCTACTTATAGACAATGCCATGTGTAAATCCCTATACACGCCAGGCAGTTTTGAGAGAGATACAATTTGTCTTAGTGCTTCCCTTGGGTGGAGCGGCTCTACACTGCCTCCAACAAGTTGTGCAAACTGTATAGTCTAGCCTATTCTTTGTAAGTTACCATTATTATATTACACAGAGTGCTTATGCTGAAGGATTTTAATTTGCTTTGCTTTTCAGAAGTAGTTTCACACTATGTAATCACTAAAATAATAAGTGTTTGGATTTGTGATTTGCTCCCAGTGAAGGCACTCGCAAAACTCTCATTGATTCTTGGAGAACAGGACAGGTTCTTAATCACTGACATTTAGCTGCTCACATATTAAAAATACCTAAATGTAGCCTGCTATTTGTCTCTTAATAGAAAACTAACCTTCTGGGCATCTTACCCAGGGAATGGGTACAGAAAATGAGTGAGATTCTGGACCTGGACATAGAACACCCAAAGATTCACCCAAAGGTGTGTGATTCTTTAAATTTTGTTTTTTAGGGCTCTGGGAGAAGTAGGATAACAAATTGGTGATTAAAATATAAATTGGGTAATCTATTCTCTTGTTTATAAACTAACATTTCTCGTACCATTTCTTGTCCAAAAATGCTCTTTCTAATACTTATGCAGCTTGGAGACTCCAAGTGAAATCCTGGCCTCATTGAATCCAATGGCTAAACTTGTATTGAATTCAACGGGTCCAAAATTACACCTCATGTCTTTTTTACTAATCACTGTGATACATTCATATCTGAAACCCATGACCAAAATGATCAAACTTGGATATTTAAGTCCATGTTTAGTTACCTAAATCAGTGGTCTGGACATTAGCTGCTGCTACTGAAGCCAGCACCTCTGAAATCCAAGCTACTTATGTGTGCAGCCTACTTCGTTTAGTAAAACTGCCCACTGCATTTTGAATGGTCTATAAACAACCGCATTCTCTCTAAATGCAAACATTTTAAAATCAAAATGAAAGCGTGCCCCATCCTGCTATTCACGGCGTGGATACTTACACAAAAAGGATGATTCCTGTGTTGGCTAATGCAAAGGCAAGACCTAAAATTCCACTACCCATAATGGCGTTGCTGAGATTAAAGACAGATATTTGCAATGAGGTTGTTCCTGGAATCTGGACATAGGAAAAATGGACATATAAATAGTTTAGAGTTCATTATACAATGCACATATACTGTGAATTCCAAGTTTCACGTTATAGGAAATAAAAGTAATTACTACTACAGCAATGATCCAGCAGAAAAATACAAAGCAAAATTTGAAAGAGAATAAATCCTAGTGAACCTTTTCACATGGACATTCCAATTACTGCCTAATGGAAGGGACAAATGCACTTATAGAACAGAAATAGTGTGGGCAATATATATTGCAGTATTTTTAAAAACGCCTTCCATTAATCATAGGAGCTGATTTTTAGAGGTGCTGAGAACATTCAGCTCCCCCGGCTCAGCTGGAGTTGTAGGTGCTCAGCACCTCTGAAAAGCAGATCTAAGGGTTGTATAGTTCACAATCAACAGTATATCGAGAGAGACTTACATATTCTTCACATTTCTTTTTTTCCAAGTGACTGTTTGTGAGACTTCTTCGGCTCTCCCGATCCGAAATAAACTTGCTGAAAAGAAGTCAGAGAATACATATTCTATCATGAGGATACATAGAATATGAATATACACTTTAATGCTATAAGCACAGCATGATTTTATACTTGCAAAAGAGGGTCAAACTTAGCTATTTAAAGGGTTATAATGAGCCTGATATTCATTTACACTTGTGTAAATCAGGAGTCAGTGGAGTTACACTAGTGTGAGAACAGAACCAGACCTAACAAATATAGAAAGCTATTCCTGGATCTTTAGTAAAAGAGAAGTACTGCTTCTGTAGACAGGATGGTAATTAATCTGCATACACATTAACAGAACATATTAGTCCCGATCCTCTGGAATGGTGTGCCTGCTGGTAGATCATAGCCATAAAGACAACAAATCCAGCCATGGGAGGCTCATCCCACTGTAGGGGATCTTCTAGTGTTGTACAGCTACCCAATTTCTCTGCTCCTGGTATAAGGGGTACAGCTGAGGGAAATGAGCATGACTGCGATGTTCCTATGCTATTTAGAGTGATAGAACTCTCTTCCTCCATTCTCTTCACAAGTGCTGTTTTGCTTTGTCATCACAATGTGCACATTAGAAATCTATTGTCATCCTGCTATTTTTCTGTCTGTCCCCTGCCTTTGTGCTTCACCATCTTGGAGTTATATTTCTTGCATTTATTTTCTCCCATTTCTTTTCTCTGCTGAAATCTTTTAGATTGTGTAACCCTTGGTTGTTTAGTTTTTGCAGTGTCCCTGATCTCCTTGTTAACTTACACATGGATCTCTGGGCCCTAGCTATTGCATCACCCATTATGCAAATTTCTTTCCTAATCATGTGTTGCCACCCCTTTTCAAAGATACCTTTTGCTTTAGATAATTTTAGGTGATTCTTTTAACAAACACCAAACCAAAAACACTCTGGATGACTTTACTTAAAAAATATCGTCCCCAACAGTTCCCTACAATTTCAAGGCATTCGATGAGCTAACATCCTCAGGTCAGGGACATACAGTTCTAATTTAACTGTAAATACACCTCTACCCCGATATAACGTGACCCAATATAACATGAATTCAGATATAACGCGGTAAAGCTGCGCACTCTGGTGGATCAAAGCAAGTTCGATATAATGCGGTTTCACCTATAATGCGGTATGATTTTTTGGCTCCCGAGGACAGCGTAATATCGAGGTAGAGGTGTATGTAATAAACTCTGAATCAAACCATGTATTATATTAATACATCAAAAAGTCTTGTGGGCTATCTTTAAGACTTTATCTTTTGGGGGTTCATTTTTGGGAGTTAATTTTTAACAATTTTTGAATTCTATGTACATGTCCAAAAATCCAGGTTTTTGGGGCTCTTTTTGATACTGTAATGAGAAGCTTTTTCAGGTACTTCCCAAAGGATCTATTTTCATTTTTATTATATGTATAAAAATGAATTAACCTTTGCATCCTTGTTATCTGGTTTAGCATTTAGTGTTTGCTCCCTGATGCATTTTAACATAGTACTGTTTCAAGCAGCACTACATTAGAGCACACTAGGGAACCTTTAGTGCACACCAGCAGAGATTACACAAACCAATTAATATGTGCTTTGGAAATCATACCCCATGGTTTGCATTACTGCTCCAAGGAGACAGGCCCTTAAGTACCAGCCAGGGAGCAGGGACATTGCCTATATAAACAAACTGCACAAGCGGTGAAATCAGCATGAATTGAGTAACTATTTCTGGGGGTTTTCTGGTATCTATTGGATAAACACTGATTTCCTTTACTTATTCATTTTATTTTTTTAGTATCGGGGGATGGGGGTGGGTGGGTTAATCACTGTTTATTGGTTAAAATCTTAAATCAGAAGCCTTAGCTATATTATACCTTTGCACCTTTCAATGTAAAGTTCTATTACACTTCTCAATACCCTGGCTATGACCTTATTACTAGCAATGCATGATGAGAATGTGGTGTTGTTTTAACTATGGACCATATGCAGATGTCTGTATATCCACTGACTTCAGTGGTGTTAAATGGGGGATGCATTTAGTCTACTAACTTTACAGATTCTCTTTAAAAATGATTTTCTGTGCTCCGTCTGTGGTTCTTGAAGGATACACCTCTGATGGAAAATATCTTGAAAAGTCTTAGTCATCATCTCTCCTGTATAATTCCCTTATAAGTTTATCCCTTAAACCAAGACAAACTTAGGCACATATATTGCTGTTAAAATGTACTTAATCCCATTGCTAGTTTTACAGATTTGACTCACATCTATCAGATTGGTCTGACTTTGCTTATCTACATCTGAAACAAATATTTCATTTCTCATACATTTTAAAAACTGTTCATTTTCAGAAAGTTACAGCAAGTGAAGACAGAAAAACATTTGCAGTGTCAATGTCAAGAGTCCTGAGATCTGTTGGGGGCAGACAGCAGATTCCCCTTCCAGTTACATATGAGGTGCAGATCAGCCACCCTCTTTCTGAGGGAGAACTCACATTTTAATGCTCACTATGCAGATTTTTTTTTATTCATATAAAATAGATTTTGACCCTGGGCTTCTAGTGAGTTGGAACTTGTATACTTTTGATGTCTTTTTTAAGCCACATTGCTGAATGTAGGCCGTTGAATGGGAAGAGTTTACATGGCACTCAGGTGCTCTCGCTGAAAAACTCTGCATGTGGTGTAATAAGGAGCACAGAGAGGAGCTTTGTTTCCAGCTCAAAAAAACCCACAGAAACAGCCAGCAACTCTAGTACAACAGCAGATCCTTACCGTAAATATGAAGGCTATTCAAAACCTGAAAATTTAACTTTTTATCTTAAAATAAGGCTTGGAAGGGTTTATTATGATGTGAACAATATTGTTTAATTTTATTAAATTAACAAAAAGTTTATATAAAAATAAACGCTATAATAATTTTTAAGTAATCATGTAATAATTGTATTTTACTTTAACTGCTGAGCAGATAATTTTTTTTTTTACATTTAAATTTGAAGCTTAGTTATAAATCTGTCACTTTTTCTAAAAGAGCATTTTCTATTAGGTTTTTGCTATGGCAAACTTAGGAGCAAAGGTTTGATATAAATTCTCATTTGCAGAGAGTTTTAAACATAGACAGAAAGATATGATCTACATTTCTTGTTAACAGCATGAGTTATAAATTCACAGAAGCATAAAGAACATTTTTGTGGCCATTGTGGTTACATACATCAGATTGTGGAACAGCCTTTATTGAAAATCCTATATCTTTGCCCAAAATGTTTGTCCGTCTAATGTTATTATTTTGTTTTTTTGTGTTGTATATGCAGATATTTTGAAATGTTAGCATTTTGCTACTCTATATGTTTATGCATTTTATTAGACTCATTTGAAAAATTCAAAATGATGAATAAATTGCTACTCTGTTTGCTTTATCTGCTGTTGCAGCCTATGCCCAACAGATGTCACATATGAAATTCAAATTACATTTTCAAATGGAGCATGACTCAGTAATGAATAATTCAAGAGATATACTGAAAATTAGAATGCTGTTTTTAAACAGTGTGTTTCACAGGATAGACAGCATCAGTGGAAAAATACTCACCTATTTATCTGGCCATTTTCTACCTCTGTAAAATCATTTGAATCATTGCTGATGTTATCATCCTCAGGGACAGTCATATTCTGCAACTCAGTTAATTCTAATCCGCTTTTGAAAGGCATCCTGATCTAGGAAATGTAAGTATCCAAATGTTTATCCAAATAATAGTGTATATTTTGTAGGTAGACAGTAGCCACAATGTGAGCTCGACAAACCTAAAATGCAGTAAGAAAAACAAGCTGTATGAAGTATTCTAATAAGATTACAGTCAAATCTATACAAAAGAACGCCTTTATCAAGCAACCTCACGTCTGAAGGGACCAACCCAGATTATATCCCAAATGTACTGTACAGGTGGAGTAAAAGGCTCCTCCAGCTTAATTAGAAGAACACCTCCATTGCTTTATTTGTGCCAGGGCTCAGCCCAAGCACCTCTAGGCTTGGCAGTTCACAGCCCTGGCACCTCTGGACTTGTCGCATCAGTTATGAAAGTAAAAATTTTGATTGAGTCCCAGCACCTAATTGCTTGAGCCCTGACACCTCTTTCATCACAAATTAAGCACTGAACACCTTTGTTTAAGTAACCATATTTTGTCAATCCCATGAGTAGCTATTTATGACAGGTTTGGCTGTGTTTACATTTATAAAATAGTGAACAAAATACTGTATATACTCGATCATAAGCTGGTTCGTTTATGAGCCAACCCTCCCAAGATGGATAAGTAAAAAATGGAAAATTTTTATGACCTGTTCATAAGCCAACCCTATAATTCAGGGGTCAACAAACTTTGGCTCCTGGGCCATCAGGATAAGCTGCTGGTGGGCCGAGATGGTTTATTTACCTCGAGCGTCCGCAGGCACAGAGGTAAACCTAAGTAAACAAAGTGTCCCAGCGCACCAGCTGCTTACCCTGACGGGCCGGGACAGCAACTGGTGGGGAAATTTTTTGGGGGGGAGAAGCTGGAAGTCAGGGGACTGTGACCACCCCGCACATGACCCAACCCCTAGCCTGGGACCCCCACACTCTCCCATCCGATCCCTTCCCACCTTATCTGGGGAGGGCCAGGGGAGAATGTCTCTGGCCTGCCTGGAGTTAATCCGGAAGGCTGGGCAGCGCAGCTGCAGTCTGCTCCGGCAGGCCAGACCAGGCGGTGCGGCCGCAGCATGTTCCAGTCGGCTGGGTCGGGTGGCACGGCCGCAGCATGTCTGGCAGGCCGGGCAGCGTGGCCACAGCCTGCTCTGGGGGGTGGGGCCGAGCGGCATGGCTGCAGCCTGCCAGCCCCTGAGCTGCAGCTGCTTCGGAGGCTGGGGGGAGAGCAGCGTGGCCAGAAGCGGAGAGACTGGCCCCACCTTTTCCCTTCTGGCTGTGCTGCCTCTCCTTGCTCCCTCTGTTGGGGGGAGGGGCTGTGTCCCACCTCTCCTTCTCCATACCCATTCATAAGCCGACCCCCTTCTCTGGTGCTTCCCTTTTTTACAAAAAAAATTCGGCTGATGAACGAGTATATACGGTAGTAACACACAACTTCAAAAAATAGGTTTACAACCTAGTAGTCAAGGAAAAAATTCTTGGTGTGTTAGTTTGAGCCCCAGCTAGTTGTCACGCCTTTGTGTTTCTCATGTTGTCTCTCTCCTACTTTTAATATACATATAAAATGTCCCATTCAATATAATTTTCATTATTAGTCTCCACGTTAGTACCAAATGAAGGCAACACAGGGATATCATCATTGCAGTTTTCTTTTATGAAATAGCTTCATTCCAGTTATTTGAATACGCTACTATCCGGAGATAAAGATTCAGACCACAACACTCCTCTGATTGAGAAACCGAATGCCTACATTCATGGACAGTCTGAAGAGAGAATAATGTGTGCCTTGTATCCAGCAATTGTTAAGCTATCAACTGTGAGAAATAAATTAGTCTCTCCCCTGGGAGAAGATGCAGCACCTGAGGCAACTAAAAACAACACCTGTGCAGAATTGGTCTAATCCACTACAATGAAATACATTTCCTCATCAGAAATGTGGATAATTTGAAAGGCCATACTTTCGCCTCTATGATTACGATTCATCACCGCAGGACCATATGTATTTGAGAATCAAAGAACTCTGGAACTCAACTGCCCCACAATCCCAACAAGCTTTTGAAGACGAAGTGTCATTAAGAAACAGTTTCTGTAAATGGCTCATGTGTGGTACAACTTCTCTAAACCCAGCAATTTTTCTGTAAGCAATTTTTCTGTAATGCGAGGTTTCCAAAACTTTAAGGGAGAGTTTGGGGTTACTGACCATACCGGACTAACCTCAGGATATTGGGGGATCTCTGAAGCCATCAGAGCTGCCTCAAAAAAAAAAAAAAGACCTCAGAATATTCAGATGTAACTAAGGAAGCAGGGCTGTCCCTAGTTTTTGCAGGGCCTCACATATTAATTTCAATTCCTATTCCTGTCCAACTATGACTGCCTCCTATCTATATCAAATAAACAGTACAGAATCCAAAACTGCTGCTTACCCCACATCCTCATTGCATTTGAAAGCACTTAGCAGTTTCACTTTAAATAATCTCTCAAAATCTCTTCAAAGGTATAATAAAATCTTATATTGAGTTTCACATGTGTCATTAGACAGATAATTTTCTTATCCCTGGGGTTTGGAAAATCCACCTCTTGAATTTTCAAGAGCAAAGTTTAAGATTAAAAAAACCGAGTTATACCCCTAATTCAAACAAACATCCTCGAAAAAGAGCACTTGAAAAAGTAAACAGGCCCAGTTGAAGTGGCTTTTGCTAATTCTAAAGAAAGACCCATTCATCCCATGACATACAATGACACGTTAAAAACAATTTAAACATGAATTAGGGCTACTTAATAAATACAGTGCAATCTACCTATAAAAATTCCTGATAAAAAGACTAAAGTCAAAAGTTTCAAAAATGTGTCCCTAAAGTTAGACTCCTAAATGCATCTACACGCAAAAGTTGTACTGCTTTAATTATTCTGGTATACTAACCCCTCAGTGTGGACCTAAAGTTATATCAGTACAAGCTACTTTAATACTGGTATAGCTATTACCATACAGAAAGCGGAATAAGCTATACCCGTATGGAAAACTTTTTATGAGTATAACTGCCTCCACGCTAGGGGCTGTATTGGTATAACAATCTAAATAAAAAAACAAAACCCACACTCCTAAAAATACTGTTAGAAAGAAAGCACCTCAACTCCAGCTGAGTTGTTTTTTTAGGCCTGTCTACACAAGGAAATATACCAACATAATTATATCTCTGTAGATACACGGGTATAACTCACCCTGTGGACACTCTTATAATTATACTTGTATCTATCGTAGGTACTTATATGGCCCCTGCCACCACAGTATCTGAGCACCTCACACTCCTTAATGGATTTAACTTCAAAACACCCCTTTGAGGCAGTACTATTATTCCCATTTTACAGATAAGGAACTGAGGTACACAGAGATTAAGTGACTTGCCTGTGGTCACCCATGAAATCGGTGGTTGAGCAGGGAATTGAACCAGAATCTTGCAAATCCGAGGGTGGTGCTCTTACCACTGAACCATCCTTCCTCTTTTATAAAGTGGTTGTTTATAAATATGCCAATAAATTTCTATGTGTGTCAGTGTAGACACCCTGGTCGATTACAGTGCTGTGATTGGCCTCTGGGAGGTGTCCCACAATGCCTGTTCTTGCCTCTCTGGTCATCGGTTTGAACTCTACTGCCCTGCCCTAAGGTGACCAACTGTCATTCCCACCCCTTAAATTCCTTGGGAATTTTGAAAGTCCCCTTCCTGTTTGCTCGGTGATGCGTGCAGTGGTGTCAGCGCATCTTTCCAGGTGGCCATGCCTGCTCCACGTACCAAGCGATCCCCTGCTTGAAGCAATGCCGAGCTGCTGGATCGCATCAGCATTTGGGGAGAGACGGCTGTCCAGTCTCAGCTGCGCTCCAGCCGTAGGAATTATGATACCTATGGATGGATTTCACGATGTATGACAGAAAGGGGCCATGACCAGGACACACTGCAGTGCAGGGTCAAAGTGAAGGAGCTGCAGAACACCTACCACAAGGCGCGGGAGGCAAACCACCTCGGTGCTGAGCCCACGAGCTGCCGGTTCTACAAAGAGCTGGATGTGATACTCGATGGAAACCTCACCTCCACTGTGAAGACTCCTGTGGATACTTCGGTGGCTCACGTGCCAGTGGAGAGTGGACTGAGCCAGGAGGAGGAAATCTTGGACAAGGATGGGAGGGGGACCCCAGAGGCAGAGAACGACTCAGAGGCCAGAGATGCATGCAGCCAGGAGCTCTTCTCTACCCCAGAGGAGACTAGCCAGTCACAGAAGTCAGATCTTGCCAAAGCGCAAACAGGAGAGGAGGCCCCTGGTAAGTGGCTTTGATTTTGGGAATTGCTGAAGCGAGTTGTTGGGGGCAGGAGGGTTGCAGAAAGCAGGGTTGTGTCTGTATGATGCACATACCACCGTACATACATGCCTAGCCTGAGCAGCGGAACAGGGTGTTGATTGATTCCTTCATTTATGGTAATCTGCCGCAGAGATTTCCACAAAACTCTCATGGAGATACTGGGCAATCCACTGCCGCAGGTTCTTTGGCAGAGCTGCTTTGTTTCTTGCCCCATTAAGGGTAACTTTCCTGCGCCACTGTGCCATCACTGGGGGTGAACCATTGCTGCACATAGGCGAGCTGCATAAGGGCCAGGGCGGAAGCTGCAGTCTTGGAGAAGACCCTCCCTTGATTCCCTGCTCACCCTCAGCTGCAAGATATCTTCCATAATGAACACAGCCTGTGGAAATGTGGGGACAGGAATGATTATAAGCCCTCACCTCCCCACTACAGTACTGGCTCCCTCCAAGAGCCACATGCCCAATGTACAGTATGGTCCCGGAACACTGATTTCCCCTGCCCCTGCAGTTACTCACCATTTGGGGGGGGTCTTCATAGAATATCAGGGTTAGAAGGGACCTCAGGAGGTCATCTAGTCCAACCCCCTGCTCAAAGCAGGACCAATCCCCAGACAGATATTTACCCCAGTTCCCTAAATGGCCCCTCAAGGATTAAACTCACAACCCTGGGTTTAGCAGGCCAATGCTCAAACCACTGAGCTATCCCTCCCCCCACAAGGCTTGTGGCTCATGTGTGCTTGCCTGGGGTCAGCCAGTTAGTAACAGGTATGTGAATAG